GCGAACACGTGTAGTAATTAATTACCTACCCGCAGCCGGCGGGGAGTGAAAATCCCGTCCCTGAATACAGTATAACAGCGCCGTGAACGCTTGCAAAACGTGACGACGAAAAAAATATACATCTCGTCCTTGCCTACGAAGAGCCCGATCGCTCCTGAAACACGAGGTATTAATACCGATGCGCCGCAAACGTGACAACTGTCAGATTTTCACATTTTAGGTGCCGATCCACTTTTCCGCCACCCCCCCCTGATTTAAAAAAATCGAACATTTTTTAAATGATTTTATGCCGCTGGTGGTCTTATATTTGTAGAGTGCATGCTCGTAACTGCAGGATTGCAGCGCTGATGCCCTCTCCCTCTCGGCCCATGCGGAGGCAATGCTCCAGTCTGACGGGTTTGCACGTTTCTGCGGCGCTCCTACCGGCACCTCGACATCTCGCAGGTCTATCTGATCCTAATCCGTCTCTTTTTTTTCCTCCCCTCTCTCTCTGTCTCACCCGAGTGCATACATGGTGCATGCACGATGCACCGCGGAGGAGCTCAAAAGCCTCTTCCTTTATCTCCCCCGTGTCTGACCGAGGCCAGCCGTCTCCAGCAGTTCCCCCACCTTCGGCAACCAGCCCACCAACCTCTCGCCAGCACATCCTTCCCCCTGCCTCCCCTCCCCGGAGCCCGGCTCTTCTGACTCCGGTCTCTCAGGTCTGCTCCGGATAAAATTCGCGGGAAACGTCAGACGAGGCGTGCGACACCATGTGACCGGCTGCACCGCGCTGGGTTGTGGGAAACGTAGTTCTTTTAAGGCCAGTGTGGTATTTTTTCTTTTTAAGCCTTTCTTTTTACAGTGGTCTTATTTTGGGGGTAAAAAAAATATCGAGGGACGACTGAATTGGATTAAATAACGAAACTGTAAATAGAAATAGAAAGAGATACAAGGTCTCGCATCATTCTAAAGCTCAGAAGGGCAGTTCCTATCTCACTGCTGTTTTTTGAAGCTCATGTTGATGTTTTTGGCACCATAGGATGATTAAAAATACATGCACTGTAGTTCATATACAGTACAAGTTTTGGTGTCCGCAAATGTAGGAAAAATTTAGGTAAACAATGAAACTAATAATAATCCCTTACATTTATATAGCGCTTTTCTGGACACTCCACTCAAAGTGCTTTACCAGTGTGCAGCTCCCACCTGGACGATGTGACATCAGCCACAGTGCACCTGTAGTTTCCCCACACACCAGCTCTCAGTGGTGAGGAGAACAGAGTGATGAAAACAGTTCAGAGATGGAGATTATTAGGAAGCCATGATTGGTAAAGGCCAGGGGGAAATTTGGCCAGAACGCCGGGGTTACACCCCTACTCTTTTTGAGAAACACCCTGGACTCACACCTGCTCATCTTCAGTGGATTGCTAGTTGTGAGCTGCAGGGTGATATAGCTGCTGGCAAATTATTTTCACAGACTTGTGAATAGAGGTTTCATGCATTAGTTGTATCCGAAATGAAAATTCTCAACACTTCTATTAAGTCCTAATATCTGCAAGAGCCTTACTTGCTTCTTGGCACTTTAAACAACTTGATTTGGACCTTATCGTTCCCTGAGCGTCACTGCTGCTAATTTACTGCAGCACCGATTCCAGAACCAAAAGCTCTCCCTTCTCAAAGAAATGCTACCCCACACCCCGTCCTGCAGTTCGGCACATCAAGAGATTGAGTTTGAGACGTCACCTAAAACACGTAACCCGGCTTTCAAAGCGCTCGGCGCTGGTGCAAAATCAAAATCCCTTAATTAAAAAAATATATATACACAAATTAACGCGCTTTATTTCTTCTCCAAATCATCCAACTTATTTCGTCTTCAAATCGACTGGCGGCTTTCTCCCATCCACAAAACCCTTGATGCGTCAAATCGCAGGAAAACAGGGGCTCCGGAGCTAAAACGTTTCGTATCGACAAAATTTGATGCTGTGCGGATAATTGTAATAGAATGTGGCTGTGAGAGGGTGAATCCAACTTTTTAAAGAAGAAACATGCTGAAGCGGGGTTTGAGAGTCATTTCCCAGGTTGCTAACAGAGATGGGGGGGTTTAGTGGGTTTTGGGAATTCGTTTTAAAATCGTTCTGACAAGGGGTGCATTCACATGTGCGTAGTTTTGTGTACGTGAGTGTGGAGTATTGTATATTGAGTGACAGGCCTGGAAGGGTAAAGTGTTTTGGGTGATAATGGACAGCGTCTATGTGATTTGTGAGGCTGAAAGAAGGTTGATGGTTCGAGAAGGATATCTTTAATGTTGAGAGTGTAATGCTGTTGAAGAATTTTGGCCTTATTAACTTTGCACAGTGGCAGCCTCGCAGAGCTCTGGACCTGGGGTGCTGTCTGCGTGGAGTTTTTATGTTCTCCCCCAGTTCGTATGGGTCTCCTCCATAGGAAGATGCTTAAACGGAAGATCCTGTTGTATTACACACTGTGAACACAGTTGCCGGCAGACCAGTGATAGACTGTGCACCCAGTACAAATTCCTCTACTGCTTATCAAAACTAAACAAACCAAGAGATCATAAGAGATCTGTGCAAAATACAATCAGACAGACTAATCAATGGGCTTGTTTTTTTTTTCTAAATATAAGTTTGGATAGCCAGTTATGTTTTCCTGCATAAAAAATAAATATGCAGAGGACTGATCACTTCTGCAAGATGCTCACTGTAGACCAGAAAGTTTCTTCATGTCAAAAGACAAAGAGAAGCAGTTCAAAGCCAAGTAAATCTGGCAGAAATAATATTGCAAAACATTTACAATATCGGATAGGGACATTACCTCACGTGCAGAACACTGTTGCTGAACTTGTGTACGCAATGCCACAAACTGGTCAGTGACACCCACCACCCAAAGGATGTTGCTATCCAGCAACAGGAGCAATGTACATCTATATTTTCCTAATCCTCACTGAAGTAAAGTATCCAGGATGCAAATACCTCCACGGTCTTTGGAGCCTTGCTCATATGAGATTAAACACGTCTGGAGAAACACCAAGTCTGGCATTTTAAGGCACCTTAATTCCACTTCTCTCTGGGGAAAAAAAAGCATGTAGGTCAAGAGGAACATATGAATCCTTTCAATATTTCCTTCACAGTTTTTAATGGGAAAAATTATAGAACTGTACCATTTATTTGTACACACACAAGTACATCCCCTTCTCAGACTGGCTACAGATGACATGGAATGTTACAAAAGGGTCTGCGCAAAACTCCCAATCATTATTGATTTCTCGTGCTAAAAAAGTGCACAAAAGACCATCAACTGTTGCTTCATTAGATCAAGAACGCCTCGATACTTTATTCTTAATTACATCATTAACACTATCACCACACACTGTACATTTTACACTCCCTTCGGAAAACACTGCATTTTTATTGTAGCAGTTAATACGGTAAGTCCAGCTGCTCAAGTTCAATTATTAACTTGTACTTAAGTTTACACGGATATCGGTCAATTCCTTTTGCTGGGGGCGGTCTCTCACAGTTGTCCCTGTTCAAACAGGCCCTTGTCGAATGAGAGGTCCGTGCTGTGCCTTTAGTCTTTAACTTCTTCCATAAAAACTCTGTCTTCCTTGCTTTACGTCAGCAGTCATGACTCTCCATTTTGCACTTTGGTTACTGGTGGCTGCATAAAGTCTTTGAAAGGACTGAGAGCTTCTTTCAGAGCTGAGCTCACTTCAGAAGATGAACACGTTATACACTCCACAAGAGTCGGGTACAAAGCAATTACTTGTGCCCAAGTATTTCCATCCACTGTTGGTAAAAGAACCACAAAGGCAAAACAAAAAGAATGTTGTAAATTTGAAAATAAAGCTGATTCTATCAAACAACGCTTTCCCTTCATTTAAACTTCATTATAACGCTGCCATGTGCGACTGATAAGACTTGTAAAAAGAACAACAAATGTTTTCATGAATGGTTAACAGCAGACAATCACATGAGCTACACTAACACTGACACAATGTCAAAGAAGACACGCAAAATATAAATCAGAAGTTGACTGTTTTTTGGGACAAAAGTCCAACATTTTTATCTGCCTGTCCAACCACCTATATCAAATAACTGCCATTAATTCCTTACACCCTAAAAGCAGTATAAAAGGATTTCTAAAACAATGTCCTTGCAGACATGCTCTTCTGAAGTACACACTACTCATTGTTTCTGTATATATCATCCCAGTGACATGTACACTTATCTAGTGAAACTCCTGCACAATCTCTAATCATCTCTAAGAGAAACTGAAGAAAGTTATTGCTTTCACAAAATGATAGGAAATGGATTACTTTCCAAATATTCTTCCCATAAAATAACTTTCTTTGCTTGAAGTAGAAGAACTAAGGCAGTGGTCCAGGCCAAGCAGTACCTATTTTCAGACGACACGTTGTCAAAAAGATATTTTACACTGCTTATCTGTAACCCGTAATAATGGGCTACACATCCACCGGCATATTTTGCTGACTCTATAGTATTTAAACTTTAAATACAGTAATAGGCCAATAAATTAAAAGCTAATTAAGCTATAGATATGTGACCTGCCACAAATGAATTGTTTTACTCACCATTTTCTGGTTGTGTTTTCTTGAGAGAGTCCATGAGTGTACTGATAGCTTTTAGGACAAATATGATTTCTGTCACCTGTTGCCTGGAAAGGAAATTAGAAGATTCCATTTTTTCCTTGCTCGATTATGCACTAAACTCTGACCAACAGAATCTTTGGACTGCAGTGCTGATTTAAGTGTAAAGATGGGTTAAACACTGAAAAGTCCCACAATTAAGAGACTTCACGTAACTCAATAACATCCTTGCCAGGCAAAGATGTATTCAAGGCACCTGAACTGAACAGAAAAATAAAATCAATAAAGGTGTAACTTTTTTTTCCCCTTGAGTACACATGGAATTAAAGCACTGGGCCAAGATTCAGTTTAATGCCTTAACAAGGAACAAGCTAAGATTTATTCCATGCAGGAAAGAGAAGAAAAAAAACAACGTTCCAGCTGTGGAGCCTTATTTGGAAGGCTTCTTGACACGAAAAAAAGAGAACAACACAAACACAACAGGTTCTACACACGGAGAGGACTCCACAGCCGAAACGTTTTGTTTCTTTTCTTCTCTTTTCGGCATGGAATAAACCTTGGACTTGCTCCACTGCTGTAAGAGAATGCCCACTACACCCTCTTCCCTGGTCATCTTCCTTTCAGCTCTGAGAAAACTAACAGGGTCTGTCTGTCCTCGGCCACATGAGACACGAATGCAAGACTGATTGGAACCTGTAAAGATGATATCACTGATGTCTTCCTAAGAGTCTGCAGACCCACTAAGGTCAGTGGTCTGGCCTGCTGTATAGCGGGTTTGTTACTTGTCCCGAGTTGTGTGCAGCAGCGTCTGAGAACTGAGAGTTGAATCTGAAAGCGCACACATCGGTATGAACAGTAGAAAAAAGGATCAGAGGGTACGAGGGGGAGCTACATGGAAGTGCAGTTCAAAGCCAAGAACAGAAGGCACTTCTTCAGGGTGGTGAGAGGGTGGATGAAACTATCCAGCCATCTTGTAGAAGCCAGTACCCAAGCTTCTTTCAAAAAAATGATTGGACGTGATCCTTGGGTCAATGAATTACTAGCTACCTATAGACAAGATGTGCCAAAAAGTCTCCTCTGCTTTGTAACCTTTTTTTGTGTTCTTGTGCTACATAAACCACACACCATCTTGTATTCAAATAAGACAGTACAGTGAAAAAAAAAAATCACCCTGACACTCATGAGAGCCCAGATCCATGAAACATGACCTTTACACACTATTGGACAGTTCTAACATAACCGCATAGCTAGTTCCACAAAAAAACAATTCCTAAATGTGTCACCCGGCAGTTCTGCTGGATTTTCCAATGAAACTCCACCATCAGGAGTTGTGTGTGCGCGGCCTTAATCGGATAATGATCTTCCCCAATATGTGTTCACGTGTTCCTCAGCGAGCGGATGATAAAGCTGTTTTGCAGCTCACTCAGTTCCATTTCAATTTCGGACTGCCTTTGAAAGGAGTTATTGGCGCAACAATATCTTGAAGAAGTCACTGTGTATGGTGAAAATGTGTTACAGTGTCTGTTCTCTTGGTCTATCAAGCCTGTTTTTTGGAATATTACAGAGAGAGAGAGAGAGGAAAATAGGGTAGTTCCCATTTTTTGGAATGTCAGTCAAGGCATTGGAGATCATGTGAAAAAGGAAAAGAGAAAAGAATGATGCAGAATTTGATGTTTTGACTTAATCTGGGCCAGTTCTTTCAGCATTCACAAAATTACAAACACACACGTACAGTTTTGCGTATACGTTGTACTTGAATAGGAAGAATTGGCAGGCCTCGCAATTCACCCATCCTCCCAAATTTTTAACTACTACTTCCAATTCAGGGTCGCAGGGCAGCCGGAGCCTATCCCAGCAAGCAACGGGCACAAGGCAGGGTACACCCTGGATGGGATGACAGTAATCACAGGGCACACACACACACACTCTCACACCAGGGCCAATTTTCCTAGAAACCAATTAACCAACCAACTGGACTGTGGGAGGAAAGTCACACAAATGCAGAGAGAACATGCAAACTCCACACAGATAGTAAACCAGGTCTAGACTTGAACCCAGGGCCCCCCGCGCTCTGAAGCCTCCACTTGAGAATCGGCAGGATTTACCTCGGCAGAGGACACCGCCCGCTGAGCCTCTCGTCCGCCACGTAGCGGTGCAGCACGTCCTCGGACCTTTTCAAGAGCACGGAGAGGGCCATTCTGGAGATGTAGCCTTCCTGAGGGGTCGAGACTTTGTTGCTGAAGGAGAACTGCAGCAGCGTTTCAAAGCACACCTTGGAAAACTCCTCCCTCATCCGAATGTCTATCTCTGCCTCTGCAGAGAACAAATCGGAGAAGACGCAGAAAGCATTTAGATGAAAATGCCATTTATTTATCTACCTGTTTTGAGGCATTAATAGCATTCTATTAAATATACAAGAAAACATCAGGCCTTTTGTAAATAAAATACAAGAAAATATCAACAATTCTATAAAGAACAGGCTCAATATTAAGACAATTTGACTGTTTAAATCCATCCCTTGCACCCTCATATTCTAATATTGGAGCTTAATCTAGACTCTTAATATTGGAGTCTAATCCTTGATGCATATGTATAAGGTGTTAGTCTGCAAGGATATTTAATGATATATCAATATACATGGAGCCCTGAGTTCAATTCCTGGGGTGCTGTCTGTGTGGAGTTTGTAAGTTCTCCCTGTGTTTGTGTGATTTTCCTCCAGGTGCTCCTGTTTCCTCCCAAAGTCCCACAGACTGGTAGAATAAAAGGCTTTGAGGAAAACTGGCCCTGGTGTGCGAGTGTCTGTCTTTGTTTGCATCTGTGTGTGCCCTGTGATGGACTGGCATCCCATCCAGGGTGTAGCCTGCCTTGTACCCACTGCTTGCTGGGATAGGTTCCCTGTGACCCTGAGTTGGTTTGAAAATGGATGGATGATTATTCCATTTACCTCAAAATATTTGATAAATACTAGCTGACAGTCCTTTTGCTATGAGACTGCCTGTCACACATATTTTTATTTTGTCTCACCTGTAAATGATGTAGACTGAGAGTGAATCGATCCCTTATTTAGCATCGTCATGATCTGTCCAACAAAGTCTTTGGGGATAAAATTTGCAAAAGGCAGGATCTCTGTGCTGATAAGCTGGACAACCTACAAGAAATGTAGCACATTCAGATGGCACAACAAAGAACAACAAAATCACGTGAACTAAATTGCATGGAGGAGAAGAGAGGCTTGCCACTCCTGATATCAAAAACCTTACCTCGACATCTATGCTTTCATTTTTCTGAAATTCTTGAATAGAGAGATTGTCCGGAGGCGTGCTAAAGAAGAAAAAGGCAATAACAACAAACCACCATACGTTACCAAATCAGTACAGCATAGTGAGCATGGATGCTTTAATTCTGAAACCATTTCATTGTACAAAGCTGGGAAAGGCTAAAATTACTTCTTTACGTTTTAGAGAAGTTAAGTGCTTTGCTCATCACATGAAATAACATGAAAGTTGATTCCAATGTAAAATGATTACACAAATGACTTATACAAATAGCTTACAAATTCCAATAAAGCCTAAAACTGATATCAGAAAACAGAGGAAGCCATGTAGAAACTGCTGATATCACTTAATGGGAAATATCAATTAAATAAAAGCTATTTTGTTTGAGAGCTTTACACCACAGATTTAACAGATTTTCCCCTTTTTTCAGCTTCTGCTCTTCTGCACAAAAAATAATAATAATAATAAACTTTATTTTATATAGAGCCTTTAAAGGTGGCTTCTCAAAGCGCTTTACAGAATGACAACAATAAATAAAAAAAATGCACAAGATAAAACACAATTACAATATATAGAGGAGACCGTGGATAGTGGTACTAAGAAAAGCAGAGGGGTGAAGAATGGAACCAGTTAAGTAAAGGCTTTTCTGAAGAAGAGGGTTTTGAGTCTGGATTTGAAGGTTTTGAGATAAGGTGACTCTCTGATATCCTTGGGGAGAGAGCTCCAGAGCTTGGGGGCATTACAGGAGAAGGCCCTGTCACCCCTAGAGTGTAGACGGGCTTAGGGGACAGTAAGGAGAGCAGGATTAGAAGAGTGAAGGTTGCGAGGTTGGGAGTAGGGCGATAATAGTTCAGACAGGTACTGAGGTGTCAAGCCATGTAGAGCCTTGTAGGTGAGCATGAGGATTTTAAAGTCCACACGGAATTTGACCGGAAGCCAGTGCAAGGACTCCAGAATAGGAGTAATCTGATCATTTGCACTAGACCTGGTCAGGATCCTGGCTGCTGAATTTTGGACATACTGAAGTTTGTTCAAAGTAGATTTAGATACCCCAGCAAGTAGAGCATTACAGTAGTCAATACGAGAGAGAATGGTGGCTTCACAAAGGTCGTTAGATTTACATGCCGACGAGAATGTCACAAACGCAGATTTCTGAAGTGCAGCGAGTGTGAAGGAAATATGTCTATTCTTGAAAGAGCACAAACTCCACACTCTACTTTGTACCTCCTGTATACTCCTTATACTCGTGTTCTTTAACCCTGCCACTCCGGAATTGACACTGAATTATGGAAGGCAGCAAGCTAATGTCTGTGATGACAGAGACAAATGCCAGCAGCCATATCACACTGCAGCTCACAGCTGGCACTGAAGCTCACCAGGTGTGAGCCTGGTCAGTACCTGGATGGGAGACCTCCTATGAAAAAACTAAGGTTTCTGCTGGAAGAGGTGTTAGTGGGGCCAGCAGGGGGCGGTCACCCTGCTGTTTGTGTGGGTCGTAATGTCCCAGCATAGTGATGGGGACACTATACTGTAAAAAGGCGCCGTCCTTCAATGAGATGTAAAACCGAGGTCCTGACTCTCCGTGGTCATTAAAAATCCCAGGATGTTTCTTGAAAAGAGTAGTGGTGTTACCCCTGGCATCCTGGCCAAATTTCCCATTCACCCTTACCCATCAACACACAACACTCTCTCTCGTGCTGCAATGTAAAAAAGCAGCACACAAACACAAACCTATCATGGATATTAGAAGATTAGTAGATTTAAAAATCATCCCAGTTCACCCAATTCTCCTAGCACCTCTGAAAATGATGCAGTCAGGATAAGAAGTTCTAATCTCCTGGCTGCAGGTCTCCTTCTATGAATTAGGTGTCCTTTTCTGGAGTGGCTTTAATAAAGCCTTAGCACAGCAGCAGCACAACTGCACCTGGGAAGAGCGCAGCTCACTTACCTTTTTGTGAACAGGAAGTCTTCAAACGCATTTGCGAGCTCTGGCCACATGGTGTCAAATTTCCCAGAAGACGCGTGCTGCCGTGCAACTGGAAGTCCAATCGATAGCACTTTCAACAAAGACGACACTGCCAGCTTCCACGTGCTTTCTGAAGGGCAGGCGTACTTCAGACCCAACGGTATCCTCATGGTCTGCGTGACAAGAAAGCAGGACGCACACAGTTACTGGAATGAATCTGTGGAATACCTGCATTCAGATCAACTGAAAAAGAACACACTCACATCACAGGATCATTGGAATGTATGAGCTAGTGATTAACATGGTTAAATGACCACTACGAAATGTGAAATGACTACAGAAAAAAAACTAATCAGGCCTTTTCCACAAGATGGAGTACTCCATGATGACATAAATGATGAACAGTTTTCCAGACATGCAATATGTTCTTAAATTAGCCGTAAAAGTGGACTTCATATATTGCACAGAAATAATAAAATAAAAATAAGGAACCTCAAACACCACAGTGGTTAGCACTGCTGTCTCGTATCATAGGAGGCCTGGGTTCAATTCAGAACCTGGGGTGTTGTCTGTGTGGAGTTTACATGTTCTTCCCTTGTATGCCTGGGGTTCCTCTGAGTGCTCCAGTATCCTCCCACAGCCCCAAAACATACTCGTACATTAATTAGCTTCTGGGAAAACTGGCCCTCCTAGTAGTGTAGTAGTGTTTGTGTCTGCCTGCGTGTGTGCCCTGTGATGGACTGGCATCCTGTCCAGGGTGTATCCTGCCTTGCACCCGTTGCTTGCCGGGATATACAGTGACAGAGAGTGGAACTATGTCCCTAAGAACACAGAACAGTGGCAGAAACTAGTCCCAAGCTCCAAAGAGAAGCATCACACACAGACAAGACTCCCCAGCGATTTAATGGAATGTACAAAATCCTCTAGTTAATGCCAAAGCTAAACAAAGGGACTACTCTGAAGACACTAGTGAAACAAAGCTCTGATGACACAAATAGAATTTAAGCCCAGGTGCATTCAGGAGAGAAACCAGAAGGCCCATTTTACAACATTAATAACCTAGAACAACTTGCTCAACCACATTACCAAAGTTACTGCACAACAGATTTGCCCAAAACAACCAAACTAGCAAGAATGGCTTTCTTTACATCTTTACCCTTCTAATGTTATAATGAAAGAGTAAATCATATACACTGGTTGTTGCCAGTTGAATTGGTCGGATCTGAATGAATCTGCTTGTGTGAAGTTTCACAGAGAGACCCCGTTCAGGGACTTACCTTGATGATTTTCTGCAGCACTTTCTCACTGACTACCGCTTTGTGGCAAGCTGTTTTCTGGTACAGATCCACCACCACTTCCAGGGATTTTTCTGCGAATGGGACATAGTTCAAGGCGACCCACTCGGCCTGCAACGCACAACAAGAGAAGCTGCAGCTCGCCGGAACTCAACTCAAACGGACACCAGAGTTTCATACGTTTGGATCCTTTTTTTAACAAAAAAAAAAAGACAACATGCAAACAAAGCGAACAATAACCCAAAAAAATCATATCAGAAGGGAATCATCACAGGACCAGTACACAGAAGCAGGTACAGTGGCAAAGCTGAGTTAATGCTTGCAAACATGTACATGTATATGCCAAATAAAGACAGTGTCAGTAATGCAGGTGACTAGAAGCCTATCCATGCTGTTAAAAATCTCTGTCTAGTCATTACTGATTAAGCTATAATAAGCTGAAGGTTGTTGAACTCACCGGTGCAAATAGTTGGATCTAAAGTGGATCCATTGAGTAGTACGGCAGACAGAATAAAAGAAGATTTAAACCATTAACGTACTTGTGGTGGACCAAGCTTCAAAAACAATGTCTGGATGCATTTAGAGTTCTTATGCATGAAACGTCTATGCACACTGTAACTGTTTGCAGTGTAACAAAAGGCTAAGGAGGCCGAAATCAGTCTAAGTCATTAACTTTGAACACAGAGTCGCAAAAAAGTTAAATACCTTTTAATTTTAGAGACCTTTGACATTTTGCAATCTAAAACGGAACTAAAATGAAAACTGCTTTAGCTTGTCTTCTCTTAAACCTGCAACAACAGTCCAGAGATGTCAAACACACACTGCACAGTCTATGCTAACATGCTTTTTAACCAGACTTAACCGTGATGAATGTTACTGAACTTTCTATGGGCTGATAGGAAGTACAGTACGGAACATGGGAATAGGATAATCTGAGAAACAAAGCAGGGCACTGGTTTCTTATTGTGCTGTTTGGGAAAAATTCAAAACTGCTAAAAAAAATCAATTCACCTAAAAAACGGAGAAACTGTTGTATATGGTATCTTTAACCAAAACATAATTGTGCATTGAGCTCTTTTGTATGCTGAATCCCTAGGAGATCATAATGCACTACAGACAGCACCTGACTTTATCCAAGTACTACTGTCTCTGAATCCAATGGGGTTATTCACTTTAAAAAAAAAATTGTGAATATTCTTAGATTATAATAATTTGATAATGATGCCTCTACAGTGAACACTCGGTTATTCCAGTAAAATGATAGTCCACAAATTGAACACCCTAGCTTTGACTGCTTATTTTAACAAGTCTAATATGAAAATACTGGAAACCCAGGAGATACAACATGTGCTGCTTAACTATCGATGCAGCATTTGTTTTCCTTACACTGCCTTTACTAAAACCAAATGTTTCCAAGTGTACCGTATTGGGAGAATCATTCGAAAAAGGAGATAAAAGGATGCTTCTGTATACCACTCACTTTATTATAACATGCAAGACTTAATTTTTTAAGACCAGCTTCAAATCGAGGCTCAGCTGTATCTGCGTACTTTAATGCACTTGAGCCTTCTTTGTCCAATTTAATGATAAATAGCATTGTTAATAAAAGAGGAGGTTCATCTTATTTTCATATGTGTACATGCATAAAAAGTCAAGGTATCAAGAGATAAGGCTTTATATTGGCCAATAACCTTATACAGAGGGTCTGGCACAACTAGTATTCAATGCTGAGAACAGTGCAGCTCCGAACATAAAAGAGATCTCACATTAGTTTTCAGTGTTACGCGGGTTGTTTTTTGTCCAGCTAGCTAATTTAGCCAGCTTTCGGAAAAACAACAACACTAAACTACCACTGCCTCAAGCTGAATGTGTCCAAGGCCAAAAACATGATAACTGACTTCACGAAAAACACTCACACTCCCACCCTAACCTATATCGGGGGAGAACCTGAATCCGAGAGGCGAGAACAAACCGGGCAGCCTGGTGAAAATCTGGCAGAAGGTCACTGGGGCTGATCTGCCAGCCCTCTCCTCCATCTATCATTCACGTAAAGCAAAAATCCATCTGCGGTGATCCTTCACACCCCTTGTTTAATAACTTCCAGGTACTCCCATCAGAATGCAGATACCGACTGCCCAACTCCAAAACCAACAGACTGAAGTTCTCATTCATACCTGTAGGTATATTGTTACTTAACACTTGACCTTCTATGTAAATATGTATGCATATTGCTGTTCCTGTTGGGGTTTATTTCTTCTGTCTGTCTGCACACCAACACTGCTGCTGTAAAACAACTTGCCCTCCCCCCATCCTAACAGGATACATTTTGGATAGGATGCCTGTCCATCACACGCACGCATTCACACCTGGGCTAATTTTCCCAGAAGCCAATTAACTTACCACAGTACGCTTTTGGACTGTGGGAGGAAACGTGGGGAGATCATACATACTCCACATATATAGCATCCCCAAGTTTATCTGATAGCAACACTTCCTCCAGGTACCCCGGTTTCCTCCCACAGTCCAAAGACATTCTGGTAGATTAAGTGGCTTCTGGGAAAAATGGCCCTGGTGTCTGTCTTCTGCTGTGTGATGGACTGGCGTCCTGACCAGGGTGTATCCTGCCTTGTGCCCGTTGCTTGCAGGGATAGGTTCCAGCTCCTCCATGACCCTGAATTGGATGGATGTTTTTTCCAACTGTTTTCTAGCAAAAAATGAAAAATCACGAAACAACTGCTGAAATCTATGTATACAGTGCTATAGAACATGAAGGCTTAATATCCGTTAGTGTTGGATTTAAAAGGTGTATCAGTCCTCCCCAAGCACTTTGTTGTTCTGTAAATCTGGTGTTTTAACTAGCCATGGCTACTGAAAAAAACAGCCTCTTCACACACCCAATGTATCGCTCACACAATCTCACAAAACTAGGCAAGTCAAACATGAAAAATATACTGGCGACTAATTGTGCTATTAAAATGAGTCATGCAACTTTGCAATTCCAGTATGTTATTTAGGATAGATAGACCTAATATGGTATAAATGTTTAAAACAGCAAAAAAAAAACTTGTTTTTTTGTTACTTTTGTTAATATGCATCTTCCCCAGAGTGAAAGACGACTCAAAGCCTATGCTGGCAGGATACATTCTGGATGGGATGCCAGTCCATCACATGCACAACAGGGCCAATTTTGGGAAGCAAAAGATACTCGGTATGTCTTTATAACAAGTCCCAAAGTGGATATAGTCAAATGGTAATGGAAGAGAGGAAAGCAAGCACTTTGGAAATTCCAGTGGGGAAAAACAGATGTATATAGACAGGGAGATATATAACCAGGATAAGAAACATCTGTACAAAAAAAAACTAATCTTTTCACATTTTACTTGAAAACTTTGACAAAATGTTAACCAGGAAAGAGAGAGGCGCTGACCTGATTATATTTCGCGTTGGCCACATGTTTGGTTTCTAGCTTTCCGTACTGAGGCGGTTTGCAGGCAAACTCCACAAACAGCAGGAGCTGGTCAAAGATTGCTGGGTACATGACTTGCATGTTCTCTGGTCCGACACAGATGGCCTGGGACAGGAATAAGGAAGAAACATGCGTCACCGCAGAGAAAGGGATTCAATTTCATCCAATTCAAATATGAACTAAACTAGCGGTTTTATCTAATTTGCCTTTGTAACAATGCACACACATTAATTGTACTTGAAGAATATAATTAAAATACACCTAAATCATGCACATGCAATAATTTGAAGCCTCCGGGTATTAGAACAGGTATTTTGCCTTTTTAAAAGAAATGGGTCTAATATAAATACAAAAGGAGGCACTTCTTTACCCAAAGGTTGGTAGGAGTGTGGAACAAGACTACTTAGCCATGCTGTTGAAGTTGAAACCCTGGCTTCTTTCTAGAAATCTCTAGATCAGATCCTTGAATTAAATAAGTACTCACCATCCACTGGACTTGAGGGAAGCCGAATGGCCACCTCTTATTAGTAACCTTTCCTATGCTCTATCAAAAAGCCAATATTATAGAAGTATACAATCTTCAATGCAAAGAGCACCCATATACACAGAATATCTGGAGCACTCACAAATGTTGATTATTCACAACTATAAGCATTTATAGCATGACACCTGAAGAAGACTTCACAGCCGAAACGTTGCGTTTTCTCTCTTCTCTTTTCAGCATGGAATAAACCTATTACTTGTCCCTTTGCAGACTACGCATGCTGACGCAGCTACCCACCTGAACTACTTTATAGCAAGATATATACTAAGTGCTTCTCTTAGCTTCTTTTTATTAACAACAACAAAAAAAAAACTATTACGTTTCAAGAGACTGGTTTTGACTCGCGTTCATCCCAAAGAGAGAAAAAATGATTTGGGACTCAAATGATGCGAGACCAGAAAGGAGCCAGACAATTCCTTTTTCCTGCAAACTGGTGTTCTCCTTTGTACGCCTGGAGCTGAAACTGCCCTTCAGAAACTTCAAAACCTGCCAGCCGACGGGTCTAGGGGGGTGAAAGGGATCTACAGGGTATTTCAGTGTGGTTTGGTAATCTATCAGTTCATTTTAAATCCCAAATTACCCGCCTCATCCAGACAGCTTTGAAGGTCATGAGAGTGAAACAGCATCCGTCCCTGCAGCCAATCTTGGAAAAATCCATAATCAAACAGGTAGGAAAAATTCAATCAGATCCTTCCCACATCCTCAATTCTGAATATCAACTTCTTCCTTCTGGCAAACGTTTTAGGGTTCCCAAATGTAAGTCAAACAGATACAAACATCCCTTTGTTCCACTACCCATTTAAGCTGTCAACACAAATGTCAAGGATGAACACGATTTTGACTCTAACAACCCACTTGAGTGCGATATGTTATGTGATGTGTTATAAATGTTACATGTTGTTATGTGTTATACTGTACACATGCAACAGCGCGATGTGCAATGCGTTTCTTATTTTTTGCAATAGAAGAATGTGCCATGGTTTTCTTTTCTTCTCTTTTTTTGTTTTGTTTGCATTCTATTTAAATGTACAGGAGTGCTGGGTGTCCATGGTAAATTCCCCTCAGGGAGGACAATAAAATCTTATCTTGTCTTACAGGCAGAGAAGGGACACGCACCTTTTGCAAGACGTCCAGAGACGTCAGGACGGCTTCCTGCAGGCTCGTCAGGACGGCCTCCGTATAGGAGGGGAGGATGAAAGGAGAGGCGTCCGAGCTGATGGGAACAGAGACCGCCCCGTACAGGATGACCCCCAGCTTCTTCAGGTCCTCCATGCTGAACCCCGTTTTGATGTGCTGGTACAGGGCGGGGAAGATCTGAACCAGGGCGGTGAGGAAAGGCTGGCTGGGTATAAAGGCGAGCTTCTCCGAGCCCGTGGGCGGTCTGGTGCTCTCCGTGCCTATCCGGTACCAGGTGTTCCAGGCGGACCACCAGAGGGCCGAGTCGTCGATCTCCTCGGACGCCGCGGCCGCCTGCTCGGCGCCGTTGTACCTGGCGAGCCTCTCCCCGAGGGAGTCGGACCGCAGCAGGGGTCTGCCGGGCCCCGAGGCCGTCACCGGCTCCATCAGGACGGGCATGCCCATGGCGGCCAGCGCGTCGGCCTTTTCCGAGTCCTTCACCGGCGTCACGATCTGGAGGATCTCCTGGAAGCTCTTCAGGGCCGCCAGGGAGACTTCGTTGTTCTTGCTCAGGGCCGCGGACTGGATGTGGTCCAGAAGCACGTCCCAGGCTTTGAAGAAATCCCCTGTGGGCAAAAGAAGATCCCCCTTATTGGCCATATACAATTTCTCGCATTAGGAATTTGTCTTTTCACAGACCCAAGCTTGCTCTCCATGAGACACACAGACAGAGAGAGAAGCTTGGGGTCAGAGCGCAGGGTCAGCCATTTATACGGCTCCCCTGGAGCAGTTGGGGTTAAGGGCCTTGCTCAGGGGCCCAACAGAGCAGGATTCCTCTTTGAACCGGCAACCTTCCAGCCACAGGCGCAGATCCTTAGCCACAGAGCCACCTACTCCGCCCAAAAAGGGGCAGCTTGAGAAACAGAGCGTTTTTTTTAAGGGGGAAACGTGTGCAAAGGAAGGCGGGGGGGGATTGTAAAACGGCCGTATCGCAGTTCAAACTGACACCATAGGTGGAAGGCAGAAAACGTGCAGTCAAAACTTAATGCATTTTTGTTTTTCACTACATATGCACCGCCATTTGGAATGGCCGATTGTAGGTCTCGGCTCGCGTGGACAGCTCCCATAACGCACAGGGACAAACGCCACAACATGTCGTTCAATTTGCCTGCACAACCCTCTTTCATGCTGCGAGCTTCACAGTGCCAAACTAGGGGGATAAAACCGACTGGAGGAGCGGCACATCTCTCACTGATGTCAAGAAGCCCGCAGGCCAAACATAGTTGCGAGAGTCGCGGTCCGTCTGTATGAGGTAACAGCCCTAGCTCGATAACCTCAACCCCACACGTGCGCATTTTGTGCACTCCTGCTTGAAGAATCCTGCTCACGGCTGAGCCCAGCCTGCCCTCAGACCAAGCGCCTTTCCTGATTAAACCATTCACTTTGTCACATTTTGGTTCTTAAAATACATTTCTACCTGAAATGCTCAGGAACTTTTTATAGTATATTAGCGTGTCACTGTTAACAGGCCTCAAAATGCTGCCTGCTTCCTAAATTAGTCAAACCCTTTTCATCACAAAGGTGGTTGAACTGTCGTAAAAGGTGGTTTGGAAACACTCGGTTTTCTAACCATCTAACATTTCTAACCAGAAAGGCACTGCCCTACATAAACTGCACACACTTAAGTGTTCTTATAAGGTCTGGTTCCCTGAATTAAAGAGCACGGTGAGAGATTATAACAAACAGTAGGAGACAAATAGAATTACATCTCCTTCCTTAAGGAGACACTTAGATGCTATAGAAGTTAGGGAGTTATGGGGCACCACCACCGAAGAAAACAAGAGTTTAATCTCATAGAACTGCTACAATTATAATGTTACCGGTGTCATAAGCAGACAAAATAATACAAAGACATACAGTCACAAAAACAGAAAACCTCTGCGCCCATGCCACATACAACAAATCACCGAACATTCAGGGTAGAAGAGCAGAGTGTCCTTGCTAACTGGACTAAACCAGCAGTGTCACCAGGACTAAGTGGAAAAGTGCTCTACCTGTCGCAACAGAGGAGCATCTACAAGAAACGATGGCAGTAAACGCATGTGCCGTCATACTCCCTTCATCTTCTCATTCTCGAGTGGGAAAAGTGCTGGACGTATTTGAACATCCAAACTCAGTAACACAAAATAAAACAGAACAACTACACTCAAAAAAACAATGGGAAATAGTGCATCAAGTGCATGTGCATTATACGTCACTGTAAACAAAGGAAATATTCCAAGAAAACATAAAGAAGTGACAGTTATAAATGGGGAAAAAAAGGCCACAGAAAACAGAATATGAGAGACCTCCAGTGAGAACAATATGCTCGATAAAAGATGTACTGGAATTTATCGTGTCAGCCAATGTCTTAAATAGGAGGAAACAAACACCTCACTGCAGATGTGTTTTTGAATCTGTGATGAGACAGGGACCAACCTAGAGACTGCAGTAAGTATCTTCTGGTGTTGAAGATCCTGGCCACCCCAGCCAAAGTCAACACCCAGGTCTCTGCCCACTGCTTCTCCGCAGTGTCCCTGGAGTGATGGATGAGGATGTTTCCTCCTCCCGACTCGATCTTCTCCTTGTCTGCTGTGGTGGAAGACTTCCGCACGCAGTCCAGCAGGTGGAACAGAACCTACAGGGAAGAAAGAAAGGAAAAAAAAAAAGATGAGACATTTGAAGGAAAAAACAATTAGTAGAAAGGTGGTTACAGGCAATGTTCCCTCTAAATTGTAATGGCCTGTGTGCGCAAAAAATTTCAAGTTGTGCGATTTTTTTCCCAGGGAAAAAAACTTGCACGCACGAAATTGAGTGAATGTAAAATTGTAAACCTGAAATGATTTTTTATAAATATCGTCATCCTCATAGAAGCATAGGATGACGATATAGCAAAAGACTGGGACAGCGACTCAACGAGCCCAGTCATACAGACTGAGTGCCGGGCGACCATTAGCCGTGAGGTACCAGACCACGATAGCACAGATACCTATTATCGAGTAGCAATAATAATGCACACAGCCAAGTTGGGCCTCTCGCAGCCAGTCTCATGTGGCCAAGTTAGCATTTTAGCCCCAAGACAACCATGTTTGTTTTATTTATTTTAATTTTATTTTTTGTGCGCAGTTCAATTTGCTATGTGCGCTGATTTCATAACCTGTGTGCATGGTTACAGGGTATTTCCTCTCATACCTGGATTTTCATGACCAACAGGTACAGTATGTGTTGCTACTTGTTATACTTCCCCATTTTCTACTTTACATAACACATAATATTTTGATATTTTCACCTGAGGAAGTTTTCCCCTCTCTCTCCCTCCCACCTGAGGAAGTTTCCCCCTCTCCCTCACACCTGAGGAAGGCGCCACAGCAGAACTGTTGTTTCTTTCTTTACATTTTGGCATGGAATGACCCTTTACCTGCTCCTCTGCAGTCTATGCTGCTCAGTTTCTGGAGTTTTTATGCTCTGAGCCTCACAAAGAGCCTTTTGAACCTACGGCGAGGCTGCTAACAGCCCTGTCGGGACTCCCTCACTGCAGCGCTACCTTCCAGACGACGGTGTGCCAGGTGGCCTGCTGCAGCAGAGTCCCGTGCGCCGTGATGGTGGAGAAGAGCGTCTGGCTGGCGCTCTTCCTCACGGCCGGCCGCGGGTCCACGCACAGCTCCCCGAGCTTGGCGTACAGGCACAGCCAGAGGCAGTCGAAAGGCGGGGCCGGGTGGAAGGGCCGGTTCAGCGGCACACCCTTCTCCTTGGCCTGCTTCTCCAGCACAGCCTCCTCCTTGTCCAGCTCCTTCTCGATCGTCTCTCCTCTTTGGAAGAAGTAGTCCGAGATGTTCCACTGCAAGACACGAGAAGAGGACATTGGGACTTCTCTTCAACCTTCCAAGTCGTTCACCTTTTATTTGTGATATTATTAATTAATAATAATTCCTTACACTTATATAGCACTTTGCTAGACACTCTACTCAAAGTGCTTTACAGGTAATGGGGAATCCCACCGCTAACACCAGTGTGCAGCCCCACGTGGATGATGCTCCAGTACTCTCCCCACACACCAGCTCTCAATGCGGAGGAGAGCAGAGTGATAAAGCCAGTTCAGAGTTGGGGATTATTAGGAGGTCACGATTGGTAAAGGCCAAGGAGACATTTGCCAGGACACCAGGGTTACGCCTCTACTCTTTTTCAGAAATGCCCTGGGTAGTTTAATGACCACGAAGGGTCACAACCTTGGTTTTACGTCTCATCCGGCCCATTTCTCACAGTATAGTGTCCCCGTTACTGTACTGGGGAATAAGGACCCACATTTGGTCTGATCTGGTCTAAGATCAGCATCTTCACCTGTCAAGATGTTAGTTTGCCACCCCTGCTCAATGGCCTAGAGCAAGGAACGCTTTTTTAGAAAGCTGTGTGAAGACTTCTTCCTCTTTTTGCTGTGACCCTGGAGAGGTGGAGAAGCCTGAAAGCTACATCCATATCCATGGGGGCACAAACCCCTAGCAGGTTCAACCATACTGGATTGGTTTCAGGTAAGACTTCAGGGGAACAACAACAAACTAGGTTAGGGGGTTAGGCGTGGCACCAACAACTGCACCCTTTAAAAAGCATTATGGGTACAGAAGCCTTCACTTGGCGTGATGAGGCCTACTGTAAGTAAAGACGTATGTGAAGACTTACCAGCAGACCTATTGAGGTCAGGCTGATATTCAGCTCTTGATTCTGCAGTCCAAAGCTGCCAGCGACGTCTACAACGATCTGAAGGCAGGTGCAGGGCGTGGTTGGCAGGAAATCTGTGACCACCAGCTGCAGGCACTGGAAGGCTGTTCGAATTAAGGATTCCCTGGAAGATCAGAAGGGAACAGGCACAGCTTCAGCTTAAGAATCTTTACAACCTCCGCTGTACATCGAGAAAGCTTAGGTCCTCCTATAAACAAACAGCAGCACGGTAATTTCGACTGGACGGAGAATATGCATTTCATTTCAACAAGGTCAAGTCTTCTTTTTCTTTGTTTTTGAAATCCTAGAGTTGACATTTTTTTTTGTTATTGTCCACCTACTTTGGATTAGCCAATTGTGCGTCTTCAGGTCTTGGCTAATAGCTATAAGAAAAAGAGGTTACAAACGCGAGGAGACGATTCGGATGATCTAGCCCCATTGGTAATTAGAAGCTAATTAATCCCAGGCTCATTTCTTGGGAGACGCTTTAAAAACATGGCTGGGTCAGCTTGTTTCACACTCCCACAACCCTCTGTGTGAAGAAGTGTCTCCCATTCTCGGTTTTCATTGCTCTTCCACACAGTTTCCACTTGTCCCTTCTGGATTGAGTTTTACTCTCCATTCAGAAGAAATCTGGTGGGCTGATTTCAGAGAGAGGCGAGAAGTCCCTGTTCAGTTCAGTGAAGGATTGAAGAGATGCTTATTCTGTTATGAAAAGGTCTCTCGGTTACTCTGCTTGATCTCTCCTGGTCTGAATTGCCAGAATCGTTTGATAGAGATCTCATATTTTAGCATCATTATATTTAGATTGAACCTTTTCACATATGAGACAATGGTCGGCCTTGCTCAGCCTAACTGCCACTTAAGTTATTTGTGAATACAAGAAGAGCGCCTCTCTTTGCTCATGCATAGCACACAGAAAAATCCCTCTCACGAGAATCCTAGTTTTTTGGGGGGGTGAACACATCTCTCACCAACAACACTGTACATCTGCAAGCACCCGAGAGGTCACAGGGGTCGCTGTTGCTACCAAAACATAAGAGAACTCTGGCTGATTAATCCCAAATCTTCCATTGGCAGAATTCAGGGTAGTTAAAGTTAGACAACATCCAAACACATAAAAGGCCCTCGATTAAGAGAGAATAATTAAAGATCCTAAATCAATGGCGTAATCATTTTAAAAGCAACATGGTTCTCTCATTTGCCAGCCTTTGTCAATCACATCAGTCTTTACCAAAAGGTTTATCAGAGACAGAAATGTATTTCTAGTCAAGCTGTTTTTTTTTTTAATAAAAAGAAAAACGACGTACCTTTACACAAATCAAAAGCTCATGCCTCTTGTGTGACAAACAAACATTTGGGGCTCTTCATGCAAAATGCACGTTTAAATTCTTAAAGCAAACATTTAGAAGTGTTTTAACTATAGGGCCTTTGAAATACACCATTTTCCATTTTAAGAAAACCGCCAATGATCTTCAAAGATCCACTGTCACTATCCCACTCCACAGACTGCGGGCCGGCCCAGAATCCCATTCGGGATTATCGGGAAAGGTGTCCTCTCTGCTCACCCCTGATCATTGCGGATCGCACCGATGACGCCCAGCACGAGGGGCCAGCCGGGACCCAGGCTGTCGCCCTGGCTCTGTAAGATCTGCAGGACACACTCCAGCTGCTTCTGCCTGATGTCGGAGTGCGCAATGTTCGACAGCTCTTTCAGGGGGTTCAACAAGAGCAAAAGGAGCCTCTGAGGAAACAGCAGCATCGAAACAGAGAGAACAAAACAAGTCAAGTACTGTATGGAACTTGTTTCACTGGCTATCATTTTTGCTAAAGCAAAATAAAATGATGTATAAGTGAGAGGTGTTTTTAAAGCCTCTTCCCCAAGAAACATTTTGTATTCCTGTCTTCTGAGAAATGTTTATTTCCTTAATATTTCTTAGGGAGCATTTTACTTTTTTTTTTTTACAACCAATGTTGTGTCCTGGTTGACTCTGGTAGGTTATTTTTCCTGGGAAAATTATCTGACTGACCATATATTAACTAAAACACACACACGCAAAAAAAAAACTGAATTAAACAGAACTCTTCCTGTCCTTCAAAGAGATAACACTTTTTTTGGTACAAATGTCACTGTATCTATTTAGGTTTATAAACAAGACCTCGCCAAAATCCAAAAACTACATTTCAGAAAAAATGAATCTTTTCCAACACATACCACACCAAGAACCTTATAATTTCACGGGTATTTACATAACAATTTTACACATATTTACGCAAATGTGGAGCAAAGAGTGTTTCAAATCTTCTTGTACTGTTGCTATTTCTTGAACTGCCTTCTCCTAAGTGTTCTGAACCTTTTTCTTAAACACAAAATTTGCTAGGCAAGCAAATCATGTAAACAAAATGAGACAAGTGCACTGAAAATGTTTCAAAGGAACCACAAAAAAGGCTGTTTTCCCATAACAAATAGCATTAACTGTTAACACTGTGGGTGGCCGGCATGTTCCTAGACAAATACAGAGAATTCAAGAAGTACAAAATAAAAAGTGTCTGCCATTGACTAAACTGATATACTCTGATATCTGGTACAATTCTGCTAAAATGGAAAGATTTCTATATCCAGATTCAACTCCTGTGCTGTTGTGCATCTGATATCTTTATCCCCCCTGGTTCTGCACCTGGTTCTGTGACAGGGGAGGGTCATGCCTGTAGGCCAATCCAGCCTTTATCAACGAAGTTACTGCTTCTGCGCCCCACTCTCTCATTCTGGCATTTGGATGCTGACAAACCTGAAAAAAGTAAGATAAATTAAACATATACTGAGCGTTTGCTTAAAGAGAAAAGGGGGAGAAAAAGAATATCGCTCAAATGTAGATTTGGACTTTTTGGTAGACTGTACCATTACAGGACAGAAAATAATGTCAGTGACTGAACAGCAGCTTTCGACACACACAGCATTCTGGGAAACGCGTCACCATAGAGATCTATTCCTGCTAACAAACAGCTCCATTTGAGGAAATTGTCAAATATTTAGAACAAAGTTCTAAAAGAGTTCTGTCCACTGCTTCTGTTCAATGGAAGAAACCTGAATTATCACTACCAAAGAGAAGCTGAATAGGCAATTTGAAAAAACTGAACTTGATTCAATAACAATCAATACAATATTTGTAGTGTAGATGTTCTATATATATAAAATATGATCCCCATAGAGATGTTGTTAAACTAATGCATGTCAGTAATCCTCAATGAGAATGTTAGATTATGATGCTTTTCTAATGTAATTTGATTACTATTAAATGTCAGACAGTTGACCAGTTTATCTTTTATAACTGGTGTAGAAATTGCTGTGTTCCATTTTGTATTTTCATTAAATCTAATCAGTAACGTCCAATGTAATAAAAGGTTTGTTGAACTTTTGGGTTTCTTTTTAACAGTTTTTTTTACACAAAAACAAGACACTCAGACGCCATTAATTGATTTAATTTCATTTCACACCTTCAGTAACAGATCAGGGTAATTTCTCACAACATGCAATCATTTTGTGCAACCATTTGTGAAGAAAAATTAATCGCAAAACAGAAATTATTCACAGTAATGACAGCCATCAGATCTAAGGACCATATGTTTTGAAAGTCTGATTTAAAGAATAGTGAAACATTAAAGAAAAAAAGGAAAAAATGAAATTATGCCTTTTCTCAGCAAAAATAACCTGCATTAGATGGTTTACACAGGGAATGTGCTATGTCAAAAGTACTCAACAGCACAGAGGTTGAGGCATGGTGCATTTATTTTAATTACAGGCAATCATGTTTTATTATCTTATCTTTAAACATAAAATCGTGATTTAGAAGTTCAGTCCTTTTCTAAATCTATAAACTCAAATAAAACTGGAAATATAGTTTTCTAGGGTGCACTCCCGTAACATTTGTTTGAGAGGAAATGAAGGGGAAAATGTGAGAAATGCAAGGATTCGAGTTATTAATGTATCATTAAAATAAAAGCCATATTAGAATCCTTATCTCCCCTTCACAAAATGTTGTGTAAATTACACAGCAGAGAATGAGGCAAGTTAAAATCTTGTTTGGTAACAGAGAGATGAATTAGATGAAGCTTTGCTGAAGTACTGTATCTTACCTTCTGTATTAAAGACACGGATGCAAAACAGAAGAGAGAGAAACAACAAGTAAATGGCAAAAAATTGTAGTTTCACTAAGGAAAAAAGCTCTGTAGAAAAAGGAGTTGCCGACAACACGACAAATCAATTCAAAAGCAGGGAAAACACTGTCAAGTAAAACATAAGAGGCAAACACTGCACAGCAGTACTTAACACCCAACTTCAACTCTAAGCTACATGTCTAAAAGTTATTTTCCATTTGTTTTCCTTCAGTAAAATGGATTAAATAAAACATGCTCCAAATTAACCTTAGCACGTGAGTTTAAAGCGCCCAGTTTATTTTTGCCTTGGCAATGCGGAAACATCCTCTCTGTTTTTTTTGGCCCGGAACTGCTTTTACCTCCAAGAGATGGCCAGTCAAAGGTCTCCAGAGAATTTCAATACGGTCCATGTTCACCAAGCCTGTTTCTAGCAGCTTAGCCACAGCAAACAGAGAGGGTTCCTAGAGAAAAGGGAGGGACATCTTTAAAGTTGGTGTTCAAGAGTGACCGAACACAAGGAGACTGAGACTCCACATTGGGTGGGGAGTTTATTTAACTCATTAAAAAAAAAAATCAAATCTGTGCTGCGCTCACAATCTGCACTGGGAAAATACAAGGCAAGGCTCATTGTAAATCTAATCTGCCAGACATACTGAGACACTTACTGTATATCATTAATGGACAAATTTTGTGTCCCAGTGACAGTAGGTGTAAAGCTATCAAAGACAAATGTTTGTGATCCTGTCTTGCAGTAGTAATGTGGGTTATCAGGACCAAGATAACCACTAGGACTCATCCTAACACACTTTAACAGATGAGAAATTAATACTAGATCTAGGAATCCACTGCAACATTCAATCATTCACTACCACGTGTGCCTGGCAGAACTCACCAATGCACTGTTGTCATAAAACTAGGATTGTACAAACTCCATGCATCATTCACACCAAATGACAACTTTAACACTTTTGTGCTTGCTGCACACTGACAACTACACAGGACGTATCTTGATTAGTCTGACATTTCAATTTGTAACAAAACTATCATAGGATATTGCATGATTTCACTAAAGAGGATGCCTCAGTGAATAATTTTTGTAAAAAAGGATACAAGATACAATAAGTTGAACGCTACTGATATCGAGAATACAATATCATTTGCACTGGTTTAATGGGAACAAGACGCTATGGTATAGCCAGTCCCATTCGCTGACACAGAAAGGCAGTTCAGAAAAAAAACATTTTATATCAAACTTCACCTTGTTATTCCCGTAGGCCATATCCATAGCTTCCATGGACAGGGAACACAAAGCGTTTATCAAGTGATGCAGAGACACATCGTCAAGGTATCTGCAAACACAGACAGAAGATGGCGGCGAAAATTAATGCATATCAAGAAGGTAAGATATTAAAGGTCAGACGCCCTCTCTCTGGAACTAAAATACTACAATATTGACATTCCAAGTGGGCCTTTTATATAATGTGGTGCTGTTGTTAAATATTGGGTCAAAGGCTGCAAATGTCTAAGCACGATGAATAAATACACACTAAAAGTAATATTTTGCCCAAGAAACCGCCACACTGCTGCTCTGGCCTGTATTGCTCTGCCATGTGTGCTGGTGTGTGACGACCATAAAACGACACTCTCCAAGACAGTTTAGGAACGCACCTCGGTCTACTAACTTGTCTCGGAAGCAAAAGGAAAACCTTTACACCTTCAAAGTTCCAGACTTGCATATAACTGAAAATCTGTACGGAGATCTCAAAACACGCAGTGCATGCAAGAAGATCAAAGAATATGTCCAAGAAGCTCGAAGAAGCTCTTGCTAAGGACTAACTAACAGGGTGGCGAAACATTTGTGTGTGCCATTATTTACAAAACTGTCAATAAATACTAACTGTGCATTACAATTTGCAGAAAGATGACATGTTTCAGCTTGTACCACACAGAGGTTGAGTCAACTTCTTTTGACTCAGAGATTTACTGAAACATACAGTCTGACCAGGGGTGCCTAAACCTTTGCATACAACTGTATAGAGAACAGATCCTTCATAATTACAACCCGGAACAATATCGGCTGTAACCAGCACATAAAAGCACTTGTGGAAACTAATGGACGAGTGTAAACGCTTTCTCTCGACTAGCAATCTAAAGTCTGTAAGAGCACGCAAGCATATAAAAGATATCCTTACTGTGAACTTTCAAACAGTCTTGAAAGAATGTTGGAGATGACAGGCAAATCGGTCATAACGGCTGTGGTTAACACCTAGAGAGAACAGAAAAGTTTTGAACTTTCAGAAGGGCCGTGGGGGACACTGCAGAGAATGAAGACGACTGGTCGGGCAGGCGGGCAGGCGGGCAGGCGGTTACCGTGCTCGGCCCCTCCACGGCCCGGCCCGGTTTCAGCGCTCCTCCGCTTCCGGGTTTCAGGCCCAGAATCCACACCAGGTGCTGGAACCAAAAGAGCAACGGGGAGGGAAAGCAAAAGTGACGCCAAACGTTGCCAACAAAAACACAAATAAACCAAAGAAGAATTCGACCCCACCCCTCAAAACAAAAAACATGGTCTAGGATTCCACCCTTGTTAAATTGCTCTGGTTAAAAAAAGCCGCTCATTTTACAGTTTCAAGAAAATGTAGAATAAAAAAAAAAAAGATGACAGCCTGACACAAACCATAGTTAAATCCAAACCACTTGGGCTGTGTTTTTTTATTGCCTCTCCCCTCTTTATTTCCAAGCTGGCCAAGCCCGGTGGTGTTTCAAAAGTGTACTAGTACACTTTGATAAGCTGGCAAGCCCTGCTTACCTGTTGCAAGACATCTATGCAGAAGAATACCATTTCAATTCCAATTAACCTCTCTTAACCGGACCACTGATTACAAATTACCTGCAGAGTGGCCAGCACCAGCTGCCAGGACGTCCCGAGAACAGAGCCGTGACAGTGCGCTAGATTCAGCAGGGTCCTCATGCACTGGATGTTTTTAGCAGTAAGCTAAAGAGAAGAGACTCAAGTCAGGAATCATGGCTCAACTAAATTACACCACTAATGGCAATTTTCTCCACCCGAGAACTGCAGAATCCCAATGCCAAATGGCAGAAATTTTTTTTGTTGTTGCATTTTTGTACATTTCGAACCTTTCATGGCTGTGAGTGAAGCATCTTTCTTTTACGAATGTTAAAATCTCCATATCAAGAATCCAACAACCTCTTGCAAACTGCGATTATACTGCACTTCAATGTATCCCCCATTTCAATTTATAAACTACACTGACTTATTGGACATATGCAAGCCGACATATTAAAAATCTCATTCTCAATTCCTCGTATACAGTATGTTTGGTTGGTCCGACATTGAGAGGAGGTAGCAGTAGTGGAGTCTCACTCTTTTGTTGTTTTTCCAGTATAACCACCCATGGTGTAAGTCTATTCAAATTTCTACTGGCTTCAAGCTCAATGGGATCTAGAAATAAGTCCAACTTAATGCTGGATACTTCACAGAGTATTGTTTAATAAAAAGCAGGCTGCTACCATTCTTTGAGTGAAAACAAACTACAAATACTGTACAAATACAAATTGGGAAACAATAAGCAAGAGGCTACTTATGTAAAAGCTTTAGGTGTTTAATGCTGACAATTCCATTTGCATCTTCTAAACAATGTGAGGAAGAAATAAAAAGGCAAACATTTTGAAGATATATCATTAAAAGAGCTGAACTCAAATCCCTAAGTAAGGCTTTATTTGGAATATTGTGCCCTATTTTGGTTGTCGCATATAAAACAAAGATATCGTTGCCCCGGAATCTGTTCAGAGAGGAGCAAACAGATACACTCCAAGGCTTAAGGGAATGTCTTACACCGACAGGCTAAAAGAACTGAATCTTTGTTGTCTTGAACAGAGAATATTACGAGGGGACCTTATTAGTATTCAAAATCTTCAACGACATTGACAAAATCAACCCAGCAGATATCCGCAGAATCAACAGGGAAACACAAATCAGAGGACACAAGTGGAAACTAGGTGAAAGTGCATTTAAAACTGAGAAAAGGAAGCACTTCTTTACCCAAAGAATTGTGGGAGTATGGAACATGCTGCCCAGTAGTGATGTTGAAGGCGATTCCCTGGTTTCTTTCAAGAAATAGCCTGACTAGGTCTTTAAATCAATTAGGAACTGAACACAAAATGGGCAGTTGGCCTAAATGGTTTCCTCCCGTTTTAAACTACTCTTCCAACCATCCATTTTCTAACCTCTTTAACTAATAGATGCCTGCAGGGGAGCCGGAGCCTATCCCAGCAAGCAATGAGCACAAGGCAGGATACGCCCTGGGAGGCACATCAGTCCATCATAGGGCTCAATCCAATCCCATGTTGTCATAATGAAAAGAAACAACAAGGAATATCTAGTAGTACTATTAACAAAAGGTTTTGCAGTGGGAAAAAAAAACATTGCTCCACAGCCGCCCAGCAGAGTTCTTTTCCTTTTTAAATTAGAGCCAGCAGCTATATCACATGAAAACACAACTGGCAGCCCCACTGAAGCTCAGCAGGTGTGAGCCTGGTCAGTACCCGGATGGAAGACCTCCTGTGAAAGTTAAGGTTGTTGCTGGAAGAGGTGTTAGTGGGGCCAGTAGGGGGCGCTCACCCTGCAGTCTGAGTGGGTCCTAATACCCCTGTTTAGTGATGGGGACACTATACTGTAAAAAAGTAGTGATGGAGGGGAGTCCCCATTACCTGTAAAGCGCTTTGAGTCGAGTCTCCAAAAAAGTGCTACATACTGTAAGTGTAACGATTTTTTTTTTTTTAAGTGTGAGGCAGCCTTACCACGACTGTGCCTTGAGGCTGGACAGTGAGAGGCTGTCCCACAGCCACCACCTGCTGATGAGACTCACTGGAGGGGCTGATGATCTGGACACTGTGCCCCTGGATGGAATACGCTGCAACACAAGACAACAGCTTTAACAGTGCTGTCCAGGTCCTCGAGGAGAAGCAGGCAGCTAAAATACTAGAAACACTCAGTCTACCAGAACTGCTCTACCGCATAACTAGTTCAGCAGCGAAGCAAAGGCGTTCCCCCCAAAAAAAACTTTGAAAATGGGCAAAACACTGTTAAAACTAATAAATACCCAAGCGCTGATGTTAAGATTAGCTATGAATGGAAGTGCTTTCCTTTTTTTTCCCCTTAAATAACATTTGGGAGTCTTGCATCGCCTCCAACTTCAACACAAAGGTGTACATTGAGCAGACAGGCGATATTACTGATGTCTGACAACAGTCTGCTGCATTCTCGCGTCTAGTAACCCAAGTGACTCCAAGCTCGGTGAATTTCTGAGCCGTGTGGATTCAGGGAAGGAGCCCTAAAACTAACTCACGTCCTGTCAGATTCATATGGACTGGAGCACAGGGAGGCAGCTTAAAATAGGACATTACTAGTCAAGGAGTGGTTTGTATACAAATAAGTATTTTTAATGAGTCAGTAATCCCAGTCACTTTTTCCACCATTTTCTCCAAAAATGAGAATTTGTTAAGAAGCATCAGCTTGTGAAAATGGAAACCATTGGAAAAAAGGATGTAAATTGTGACTGATGCGAGAACTGTTTAGCTTTTTCTCCACACAAAGAAGACAGCTAAAAATGGCTGGACTGGAGCTGTGAATGCTCAATTATTTTTTATGATGACACAATACAAATGGCAATTATTGCACAGTTACGTTTCTGGAGTAATACATTTCTAAGCAGCGTTTGAGGGCCCTGTGTATTACAGTTTCAATGAAGCTAGACTAAATCTAAATCTTTGAGCCTAATAAGAAAAGAACTGCACACCCAGATGGCATACCCAATTAAACAGATTACATTAAAACGAAACGGCATCAAGCATAGCATAACGTAACTCAATAATTATTTTATTAAACAATGAACAAAATGCCTTTGAGAATGCTGCCTTAAAGATATTTAGCACTAAGAAGTATCTTTCCAGTAACGTACCTTATGAAATAGTTCACCAAACAAAATTAAATACTATTCATCAGAATATGGTGATAGCAATGGTAAAACACAAAAATCTTGATTTAAAAACTATAGAAAGACTGCTGTTGAACTGAGAAACAGCCAGATTGTGCTGTGCTTCCTGTAAATGGTTTCCCTTAGGGCACAAATTCACAGAGGCTTTTAAATCTGAAACTGATTTTAATTTCTTCCCAACTCATAAAAAAAAACAAAAACAACTACTGGTTAGAATATTTGGAAGAAAAAAACAAATATGACTGAAGTTAGATTATCGCTTTTTACATTTAAAATGGCGCAGATCTAGCTAGCTGGAGTTCACTTTTCATAAAGAACAATCAAGCCCTAACGATCATATATCCATCCGTTTTCTATTCCGCTAATCCAGTACCAGGGCCAAAAGAGAGGTTGGAGCCTAACCTGGCAAGTAATGGGCACAGGGGCAGGATACACCCTGGATGGGACGCCAACACACAAACATGCACACGCTCACACCAGGGACAGGGTTCACAGAAGCCTATTAACCATCCAGTTACGTCTCTGGCCTGGACAACCGCAGTTTCAGAGCCAGGACAGGGAAAATAGACAATGACTACTGCAAGTGGTAGGGCTTGGAGGGTCTCTTTCATGGTGCAAATCCAGCCATACCAACCACTTGAACAGTAAATGGATTGAAAAAGGACAATCACCATTTTAAGAACTTTTATAAGTTGGGAGAGTGTGTACTCATTGTAAGATTGCGATACATTGGGCAATAAAGTTTATTTTGTTAAAAACAAATGTCTTTGGCCTGCGAGAGAAAACTGAAAGACCGTTAGAAACCCGTCTTATGATAATTTGGGGGTGGAAGCATAAAATGTCTCACCCCTATTCCACAAGCAATGTGCCGGGTTCGCACCACCGTCAACTGCTAACGGGCACATCAGCCGCCCAGCCACTTGCAAAGCAAAGATCATTCAGGCAAAGGGCTCAACGCACTGCTTTTCACAACGAGCGCTAAAAGGGCAGCTGCCGGGAGTGAGGATGGAGTGTGCTCATGCCTTGCAAGTTACAGCTTTTTTACGGGGACAACTGAAAAGTTCGACACTTGTGGGGGGGGGAAACAAAGCAACCGTCTGAGGCAACATGATTCTTCCACTTGGGTTGACATTCAAAAGGCAAACAGACGATCAGTTACCATTGTGAGATGCTGAAGTCACAGCCTTCCCACAGATGTAGTCGGTCACTGTGTGTCAATGAAAAAGAATAACACTTGTTTATTGCTTTTAATTCTCTTCAAAGAGGAAGCTATTGCGAATACAGGCACTAGCATGCACACAGTGTTTCATATATAGTCCTCATTCCTTCATACAGCTGTCATTAGGAACAGTGTGCGTTCCTATAACTTTAGGCACCCAAAGAAGAAACACATGAAACAATGGTTTTTTACTTCTAAACATGAGAGAGAAATATTGGCATTAGACTAAATAGCTGCTGTTGACGTGCATGTAAAAATGTTTAACGGAACCTGGTAAGAAAGCCGTGAGCCGTAAAAAACATACTACTGCACGGTAACTGCTCAGTTCCTTCCACGTACAGACTGTATGAAGCATTTTCACCAGATCTGAACCTCAAAAATCCCTTGCAAGCCTTTTCACAAGATCAAGCACCCATCTCATGTTTTGCTACCACAGCCTGCCACATATCCTTGTCCAACTTCTGTCTTCACAAAAAAGTTTTCGGAATTCCTCCGTTAAAATGGCAAAGCGATGGAAGTCCAGGCATTCTACCTGGTCAGGGGGGTGGCTGGGAGCTAACTATTAAAGAAGTCCGAAAAAGATCTCGAGCGAGTTTGGTACAAAAGCCTCACGAATAAACAAATCATTTCATAAAGGTTAACAGAATTTCACTAGGAGGGAAACACACTGAGAACACTGTATTTTAAGCTTTATCCCTGTGCAATTCAGCATTATTAGGGGACCCACGTTTAGAGAGACAGAAAAGCGCAGAGTTAAGAGTGTGTGGCAAGAAACGTCTTCTAAGTTGGAATAAAACAGGCGTTTCACAACTGCTGGAGAATCAAGCCCACTGTGCCCACTTTCTTCACCTTGAGTATCGCACAGTCAGCCTTTGAGACAACAGTTCCTGTCTGGACCCGTAAAACCGTGTTTGAAACTTAAAGATGTTGTGTTACTCATCTCGGATTGTATGGCCCCTCCCTAGCTCACTCATGCATCATGCAGACGGCACTGTGGAGTGACTCGGACTGTGTCTCCAGCCCCGGACACAAGCAAGGTAAGGGAGCAGACCGGGGGGAGGGGGGCGGTTGAGGGGTGCTCACACTTGTTGGAGAGATTGGAGGCCGAGCTGCTGAGGATGGTGAGGGCGTAATGCGGCGGCAGGGAAGCTTTGCAGATGGCGGTGATGAAGGCGTCTCTCGGGGTGACCAGGCCCAGCTTCCCGCACAGCACCGCCATCATCATCTCCGCCTTCAGGATGTTCTCCGTCGCCGTTTCGTCAGTGCTGGGGCCGCAGGGAAGAGTCGTTGGAAGAGAGAAGGACACCCACACAGACGGGAAATTAAAGACAGGCAGATTCGCGGCGCGAAGCTGAGGACCTTTGATGAGTTTGAGCGCTTAGGCTCCAATCAATAATTTGCAGATGGGTACCAACGTGCATGGGCACCTCTGAAGCTGGTTCGGTCATCTTTATCGATGGCGTCACCAACGATGGCCGCAGCAGAATGAATTCTGACATTTACCGAAACACGTCAGGTAGTGTTCTCATGTTTTGTAGAGAAAAGTTCTCACTTTTCTCCCCCCTTCCCTCCGCTAAGCGTTATAGGAGCTTAAAGGCACGAACTTCCAGATTCAGAGGCAGTTTCTTCCCACAAGCTGTCCGATTACTGAACCCTACCACTGGCTTACAGTGCTGGTTTGACTTTTTTTGAAGCTGTATGCTAGTTAACTTGTTGTTGCTGCTGCTGCTCTTGTCCTGTGTTTTTGGCGATTACTTAAATGTCTTTGTATTGGAGCGTACATGCAAATAAGCATTTGCTTGCACTTGTGCAGATGACAAATAAACTGAACTGAGGCACATACTTCCAATCCACTTTGAGTGGAGCTTCACCCCGCAGCGCCATAATGACCCAAACCATTTGGCTAAAACTACCAAGAAGCTCGTCAGGATTAAGGAGCAGCAAGTCTTGGGTTGGCCAAGGCCATCTCCAGATCTAAATTCTGTCGAGCACGCATTTTACACATGAAAGAAATTCAAAAATCAGAACATCCCAAGAATAAGCCAGAAATCAAAGTGGAAACAGGCAAGCTTCTCAAATAATCCCAGAAAGTTTGGTGAGCTCAATGGAGTGGAGACTTCATGCAGCTACTGCCTCAGGGGGATAGGAAACAAGACCCAAAGTTTTACACTCTGAAATGTACATATTATAGTGAATGTGTCCCATTATGGTCACTACAAATAAATGTGTTGAACACAGTTTTGGTTCAAATTTAGTCAAAGGTATGGACAGAATTACTGTTCACACACATACTTCCTCTCCACTGGTTACCCCAAGATGTGACGATATGTAAAAAGCTCCTATAGGTCCCACAGTAAACTTTTCCAGGTAGAAAAACTAAGTTACGTGTCTGAAAAGAATGTAGTGCAGCAAGATGAAAACCGAGGAATTATCATCACACACTCCACATCTCCTCACTGAAAACTGCGAGTAATCTGCAGTGCTATCATGTCAAAGACGCACCCACGTGATTCTATTAATTGTATTCCTTAATCTGTATTTTATTTTGTGTTTAATTACTGAAGACTACAGGGTAAAAAAAAATGAACAGTCTTCATACGTTTCTAAATATCAGTATATCAGCATTAAAAAGATACTTGTATTTAATCCCTAGTTGATTTACTGTACTGTATATTTCAAGTGTATGTATTTGGCGTGTAATTATTCTAATTACAGGGTTTTTGAAATGTTTAAATTTAAAAAGCAGAGACAGCTCAGACAAATAAGGGAGGATTGCTGAACCCGGGGGAAGGTGTATATTATACTGTATGCATTATTATCAAAATTACTGATTTTCATTATATAATATACAGTATATTATATATTATCCTGAATACCATCATAACTTTCATTTATAAAGTGTCTTTCCAAACCAAAGGATGTTGTACATAGTGATAAAAAAAGACAAAAGAAGTCCAATAAAAGTGAAAGAAAAGAAGACACGAGAACACACAGGATATAAAACACAGCAATCAGACATAGGCCCCAGTGAAAAGGCTAAGTTTTCAGGTTAGATTTGAGAATAGTCAAAGAATTTGTCTCTCAAAGAGTCAGAGGAATTCCATAACAATGGAGCAGCGAGAGAAAAGGCACAGTCACCCCCTTGACGATGGGGGCATAAACGAGATTGTCGGCCCTTCCGCCCCAGTATGTTTGGAGGGCACTGTCGGTAACCGTG